CCCGGCCGACACTCTCGGAAAGAGCCGTCATGTAGAGAGGCCGGCCGGGCAAGGAGGGAACGGCACCATTTACGTCCGACTTGCTCAGAAGGAGCCACCTTCCGGCGTGCCTTCTCTCCCCCTCCACTGTCCCATTAGCTGTGGCTTGTCAGAGACAAATGAAATCACATTAACCCTGATTTACAGAGGTTGAGAATATAGGATAAAATGCAGCTGTCCCTTTTCCCCCCCTTCCCCTGCGCTTGCAATGAACAAGGGACAACAACGAGAGGGCCAATTAATCCAGCCACCCTGGGGATCAGCTGGCCCCAGACATGCATCGTAACAGCATGGAAAGGAAGGGTGAGCGGCCACAGGGTGCTCTGCTCTCTTCCTGCCCCTGCAGAGGAAACAGGGAGACAAAAGACTTGCATGGTGAAATATTCCTGCAGTGGCTCCCAGCCAATGGTCTCGGGATCTCGTTCGGCGGGATCAGAGCAGAATGTCCAAAACGATCCCCAGTAATTATTGCACCGGTAGAGGGGATTGACTAGATGCCCTTTGATGGACCCCCTAATCACTGCAGTTCTGATTTTATGACTACCGGGGGTCCTCTCCATACTCAATACCCACAAGGGGGACTGTTTTTCCATCCTGTCAGGAGGCTTTCTCGGAGCTGCCGAATGGCCACCAAAGAGAATGTGGTTGCCGGACAAGGCCAGATCTGGCACAGCGCGCTTGGAGCAGCCTGGAACTCTGTCAGCAAGACAAAGAGACACCCTTCTCCAAAATGTCATTTCACTGATCGACACAGAGGCTGCTTAGAAATCAAGAGACCCCTCTAGTCAGGTTTCCTCTTGCTAATTCTTGCCATTTAGGGGATCAGAGGGAAGGTGGGGAGAGAGAGCAGCCCATTTAAAGGTTGCAAGTTGCAACCCACCTATTTATATATATGCCTCATTCCAAGGGCATACGTTCCTTGGCCCATGGGTGTTTCCAAGCAAAATCTCTCCATTCCCCAAGAAAGCAATCGCCCCCCACCCCCACATATCTAGGCAAGGTGCACCTCGAAGCCACACAAGAGGCATGCTAGATCAGCCCAAGGCAAAGAGGTTCCTAGATTCCACCTGAGGTCATGCAAGTGCTTTAATATTTACCTTTTCACTAGAAGGCATAAGATGGATTTTTAAAAAAAAGTCTCCAGGCATCATCCTTGCCACCAGACCGTTTCCGTTTAATTTTCAAGAATTGATCTAAGTTAAGGCCTCCTTCCTCTTTTGCCAATGAGTGTGTTTAATTACCCAGGTCCAGATTACCAAGGAGCTCCTTGTAATGAAGAGTTACTATAGCAACCATTTCTCCGGAGGCCCCCACTGGCTTATCTCTTTTCAAGTAGAATATTTACTTTTCTCTCAGATGTGTTGAGCTAGCAGTATGGTTTCCCACCTGTAATTACAGGCAGGGAGGTTGAAACCTGAAGTCAAGTCCAAGGAGAAGAGGCTCTTTCTTGCTTTTATTGCTGCAACTGACACAAACACACACACACACCCATCTCGACTTTAAGCTTTTCTTCCTGTCTGCAGCCTCCCTGAGACCCATGTGTTCCTTTTTCAGGTGCTCTGCTATCCAGAAGCAGACCCTGTGACCAGACTCAGGGCTAGACTGCTCTTGGATAGGGATGCTTTGATTCCTTCGTTCACCCCTTCCAATTCCTCGGCTCCCTTTCCTGCAACTCCAATCTGATCAATGCAGCTCCTGGCCCGCTTCTGCTATTTAAACCAAGGTGGGCAAAAAGGCAGCCCCTGTCCCACAATGGAAGGCCACTTTGTTTGCTCACGTCAGGGGAGGTCTGATATGAAAGGAGTGCCCGTTCTCACAGGGAAGAAAGCCCCCGCCCCCGTACGGCTCAGAAGCCAAGCCCGTGGTGGAATTCAGGAGGTGGTCCTCCCACCTCCCAGCGCTGCCTCTCACAACCGTTCACGCATCTCAAGACTGAGCAGGATCCTTTCCAGACCGTGTGACTGACACCGCCTTTTAAAAATAGCGCCAGGTGGCAGGGGCTGTATTCGAGGCTCCGTCGGCTGCCTTCTGCACATCACGCCTCCCTGGATGAGCACAAGAGCTTTGCACTCTGCCCATGCCCCAGCTTGTTAAGGGAGGGGAATTGTGGCATTGGGGGGGGGACTCACAGTCAGGCCCCTCTAATGCTCCTCTGCCGGAGTGAGAGGTCTTGGAAAACAGCCTCTGACATTCGGTGTGGCCCTGTCTTATCAAATATTGCCACTTAGGGTGGTTTTTGTCCTTTATGTTATTGATTCATGGGTTCGGCACTGGGGTTTAAAGAAAGATAGGATGTAAAACACGCACACGCACAGAGAGAGAGGCATCAGTGAAGGCTGCAATCCTGCTCCCATCAGTGAGTCTGGTGGCCAGCTTTTCAGAGGAGCAAACAAAGGTAGCTTTCTTCGTCCATGCCTCCAACCTGTTTTTCCTCCTCCCTGGCTTCTAAATCGCGTCGGATCAGAAGACTCGCTCTAATTGATTGCTCGCAGACAGAGATGCTCCCAAAGGAATTTTTTTACCCGTAATCAAATTAATTTCCAGAGCGAGGAACCAGCCCCCGCTCTCCACTCTCTGATGCAAGGAGGAATTGGGCAGAGGCGGCCGCAGGATTGTGGCGTGGGGGTGGAGGCGGTCACAGAATCACAGGGCGCCAGGAGAGCAGCTTCCAGCTCAGTTGAAAGGCGAAGGGTGTGGCTATCAAAAGGTCTGCTAGGGAGGCTCATCAGTGTCTGCCGATGGCTAGTGCTAAGCCTCACCACCAGAACCTGCGAGCGGTGGCCACGCCGGCCCAGCATCTCCCCTTCAAATACCCACCCGTCTCTCTTCTGACCTCCTGTTGACTCAAACCTTAACACACACACACATCCCTTCCCAATGGCAAGGCTAAATGACTCTTGCAAAGCCTCTTATCCATTAGAAAAGCCATCTTGGGGGAACTGACCCTCTGTTTTAGGCCTGGCATTTTAGAAACAGCCCTGCAGCTGAAAGGACAGCACAGGTCCTGGGGCTTCCTAAAAAAACAAAACAAAACAAAAAAACAAGAGCAAGGGGCTTCACGCACCCTTGACACGGGACAAGGGGAGGGAAAAGGTGCACAGCTGCGCTGGCATTGAGCTGTTCCACCCCTTTCTTCACCAAAATCTCATCATCTAAGAACTGGAAGGGACTATTTGTGGCTCATGGAGTCCATCCCTGGGGTCAAGGAGGCCCGAGTAGAGGAATCGAACTCCCAACCTCTGGCCTCGTAGCCAGAGACCTAAAGCAGTGAGCGATCTAGCCTGCTCTGGAAAACTCTACCAGTGAGACTGCGCATAGTTTAAGAGCTTCAAGTGAATGTATGTGTGTGTATGTGTGTATACATACACGCACACACATACAGAAAGAGAGAGAGAGAGAATGAGCCATGTGTCGTTGATGTTGCTGGTAAAGAAACAACTGATGATAAAAAATGACTCTGGACCACGGATGTATCTGTGCAAGTTGACAGATGTTGCATTTTGCAGGGAAATTTGGAAGCATTCAGCCTCCCGACACATTTGCCGAGTCTGCTTTTTTCCCTTTTCTTTTGCCCGAAATTGGCTTTTTTAGCTGAACAGTCCATTCAGCGTAATGGACCCAAGGGAAGGCCACTGAAATCCAGCCAAAGCTGCAGGTGCCTAATTTCTGCCACGACTGCAGCGAACGCGTTCTCTGTTTCTAACAACAGCGGGTGCTTTAGGCAATGCCTCCAAATGGGGCTTGTTGGGTTCTCTGGGAGCCCCTGAATCAAGCAGGAGGGAAAGCCAAGGCCCCCCCACCCCGGATGCCTGGGCTCAGCCAGTGGAGCTGGGAATGAAACAAAAAGAAAAGTGCAGAGAGGTACCTTCCAGGTTGGCTTGGTCAGGTAGGTCCATGGGGGCCATCGGCCAAAAGGAGGGACTGAGGACTTACTGCAGCCTGAACATACTGATCCGTAGTTCCCAACCTTGGGATTCCCCCAATGTTCTTGGACTACAACTCCCAGAAATCTTGGCCAGCACAGTTAGTGGCAAAAGCTTTGGAGGGTCTTAGTCCAAGAACATCGGAGGACCCAAGATCCGGAACCGCTGATATGGATAACTTCCCAGGGGGGCAGCCCCCAGGGTTGTAGTACGGCTATCAGAGATGTCTAGCTTGATTTCGGGGGGGTGGGGGGTGGACTGCGTCCAAAGCAGAAATACTGCAATGGGAAGCAAAAGGCAAAGATTGTTACAACTGATCTTTCATGATCTAAACAAACAGGGAGACGGGAGCAGAACGCGTTGACTGAAAAATGTTAGAGACTGGTTTGGAGGCAATGGACCAGGACCATTTTAGAGTCACCATATGCAAAATCAAGATAGCCAATTTCCAGGAGCAAAGAAGGAAGAGGAGGTGGAGGAGGAGAAAGAGAGGTGCTGTTTGGTCATGTACTAAAGAAAAGGGGCTATTTGGTCATTCGTTAATTCAATGGGTTTCTGCCCCGTATTAGGAAAGACTCTCACCTCAAATCATAGAGATCTCCAGAAACAGCACAGACCCTGCCCTATGGATTAGTTTGAAAAAGAGACAGCATGAAAGGAAAAAGGGATGAAGAGGGAAAAGGGAAACTACACATCCATCCTCGATTCCCACTGCAACCCCCCAACTTTGTTTTCCTTTTCCCTCCTCCTCTCTTCTTCCTTTTGAGCTATGGCTAGCCACCAAACATCCTGGGCCAGTTTGGCCCAAGATTAACAGAGAAACTCACAAACAACAAGATGAATTAGAGGGGGGGGAAGTACTTTTTGGGAAGGTCCACCTTGGAGCTGAAGCTATGCCTTAAGCAACACCAACACCAACTAGAGAAAGAATTCACAGAGGGCCTTCTGTTTTTCACGGAAAGGTGGAAAACAACAACAACATTCTTGCGGCATTTGAGAATGGCACCAAAAACAGGACATAGACATAGGGAGGCTTACCTCCATGTACGAATCCATGCATGGTGCAGTCGGAGGGTCCCACCAGGTGGATAAGGCTGGACTGGCTGTAGCCAACGGTGTAGGGCTCTAGAAAGAGGAAAGGCCATCGCAGGTGAGAGAGAGAGAGAGAGGAGAGAACACCCCGGCTGAATGAAGCCAACGCCTCCCCAGCAACGAGCTGCATGGCATTCTACCCACGAGGCTCTGGTGCCCCTGGAGTTGTAGCCCAAGCACTTCTGGAGACCCAAGGTTGGGAGGTTGCAATTTTGGATTCTCTGTCTTCCTTATCCAGAATATTTGGCACTATACCCTCACCGTGTTAGGAAGAGGAAGAAGACCCCTTTGCGTGGGAATCTGGATGCTAGAGTCTTGCCAGCAAAACAAACAAACAAACAAATCATGTGGCCATACCCACACCACCACCACCCCTCACCCTTTGCCTGGACAGCATCTCCTCTCTAAAACCCTCCCACACTTAAATTCAACGGATAATACATTTTCACAACAGTTGTCTTGTCTTGCCCAAACCCATGGAAGCCACAGCAGTCTCTGTAGCAAAGAGGTTAAGCCAGCAATAATTAAACACTTCAGCGACACCTCCCTTTCTGCAGCCCACAGTATATTAAGGCAACAGCATTAAAAGGGGAGGAGGACGAAGACGGAAAGTGGCTTCCAGGATATATATATGTATATAGACCCACAAATCAAGAGTTTCATGCAAAGCCTTAAGGACTGTAGAGTCAGAAATAAGTTTCCAGTACTGGAATGGAATAGAGTTTGCAACCGTTTCAGAAACAAACTTTACTCCTGATGACCCCAGGGTTTCCTCCTTTGAACAGAATTCTTCAGGACAATAATTATGGGAGATATTCCCCCTCCCCCCCCCCAATATCCAAGGGATCGGCATCCGGGGTTTCAGTGATCTGCAGTTTACTACAGGCCTAATTATACACAACGTACAACAGGGTGGGACTGGTGGCCTTTGTCCTGCCCCCTTGTTATCATGGTGAAAACGACCTTAAATAATGACACGAAGCAAATAAGGATGCGCTAAAACCAACAATTTTTTTGAAAAAATCTCAGAAACAACAAGAAGAACCTGCAAAGAACTGATCCCAGTAGCAAAACAACCCTTCCTAGGCTAATGCCAGCCACCTGTACCTACCCATCAATACGTCCAGGTCTAACTTCGGCCCACTCTAACTGAAACACACACACAAACAATCCATGAGTGTTAGTTAGAATAACCTTACCTTTTGTTTGCCTGTCTGCGAAGCAGGAAGAATGAGAAAGACAGTAAGATAAGCCACACGGATTCCTTGCAGAATTATATGGCACATTGAGATGGGAAGATTAGCTGGAGCAAGCTCTCCTGTTAAGCCACCCATCCTATCCTCTCCACCCCACAACTCCCATGCTCTTGGACGCAGTCTGATTCCATCATCTTCGGACTAAGCAGGGAGGCATGAAAAAAAGAGGCAGGGTCGGCAAGACCAGGGTGGGCTGTGGGAAAGGAGAGGCTTGGCCAAAGCAGAGACCAAAAGCGGATCTTTGGAAACGTCCCTGGGCTCCACTGAAAATAAGGGGTCAGAACCAGGAAGTCCAGGGCAAAAATCCTTAGAAGATGAGTGAGGACTCCGGGACACCTGGAAGGTTGCTTTGGGCTTGTTTTTTTTTTGTTTTTTGTTTGCTTCCAGGTGACACTAGGCGGCCGGTGGGTTTGGTGGTGGAATATCAGAAGGCAAAGGAGAGCAAGGAAAAGTCTAGAGCAGAGGTCCCCAACTTTAGGTCCCCAGATGTTCTTGGACTACAACTCCCAGAAGCCTTCACCACTCGATGGGCTGTCAGAGATTTCTGGGAGGTGTAGTCTAAAAAAATATCTGGGGACCCAAGACAATTCTTGATCATAGATCTCTTGGAAGGTGAGGTATATTTAAAAAAGAAAGAAAGAAAGAAAGAAAGAAAGAAAGAAAGAAAGAAAGAAATACCAAAAGGAATATATAACATTAAAAAAACGTTAAGCGAGGCACCACTGTATAACATTAAAAAAATCTTTAATAACATGAAACCGCATAAACTATACGGTAATACGTAATCTCCTCCACCAGGACCATCTAGAGATACAACCAATTTTCTTTCCATTAATGGAGCCCCCTTTCCCTCCCAAAATGTCATTGACTCTTGTGAGGGCCCAGAATCCTTCTCCTTTATTAAGATAAAACTGATAAAAATCTCCCCAAAATCAATAAAAATATTCTTATCTCACGCTTCTTTAGTTTCATGCTGCGCATTAATTCATAGCTATATTCCAAACGCCTTTATACCATTACTCTAATGGGAGACCCTACTTAACTTTCCAGTTCTTCGCCATCATTCATCTGGCTGCTGTTAATAAATTTGAAATCAATTCTTTCGTTGCCCAATTCCATTGCTCCTTATCAAAGTTGGATAAGAGACTCATCTTATGGGAAAACTCTATATTTCATTCATTTTCTTAAAGACCAAGTTCCAGAATTTCAATATAGTCTCACATTCCCACCACATATGGAAATCGACGCCTACTTCCTAACATCCTCTCCAACATATTTTTAATTAAAAATCAGGATGTAAATGATTTAATTCCATGCGAGTTAAACACTATCTCCAGATTAATTTACAAAACATTTCATTTCTCCTTATGGAGATACACTTTAACTTTCTTTTGCCCCATATAAAAAGTGAGCTACAAATTCTCGAGGGATGCCATGAAGCTCATCAGATGTGGCGGTAACGTCTCTGAAGCCAAGGCAGAGTGAGGGCACTGCTTTCTGCCCCTCACTCTGTACTGTGCACGAGTGGGTTGGGAAGGTGACAGCGCCCATCTTCCCAGATGCTTAGAGGATGTGAAGAAAAAGGGGGCAGTAACAAGAATACCCCAACAGGCTACTAGACTAGGCTTCTAATCATCATCAACTTAGAACTGGAGGGCTGGAAGGGGACCCTCTGGATCACAGTCCACCCTCTATCAACAAGGCACAAGTGGGGAATCGAACTCCCAACCTCTGGTTCCACAGCCAGAGACCTCAACTCTTGGGAGCTACAGGATGCTGAGAGGAATTCCTTCTAAACAGGTTGGACCTAGAGAGAAAGAAGACTAAAACAATCTCAGCTCTCACACACAATACAGCGTGGCCTTTTAAGCTATTAAAGCGCTCCTGAAACAGAGATCTGAGAGCCTCTGTGATGTGTATTGGCCTAGGAATCCAGAACTTGAACTCAAATCCCTGTCCCGACCCTGGAAATTCACTGGGGGTGGGTGGCACCAGTGAAAACACTCCTCATGTATCTCACCTGGCCTTGAAAACCCATGGAAATCCACCAAGAGGTGACTTGATGGCAGATAATGGCAACCATCAGGGGTGGGGAATGGGTGCTCCTAGATGCTTGGGGAGACTGCAACTCCTAGGAGAGCCTAGCCATTGTGTGTGTGTGTGTGTGTGTTTGTGTGGGGGGGAGGGGGTGTCTCCCTGTGTCCCTTTGAATCAGCCATCAACGACGAGCACCGAAAAGGCTGCCTGTTCTATCAGCGTGACACTCAGGCGCAGGAAGGCGAAAACGAGATCGCCGCGTCCCGTCCTCAATCTTCCAACAAAAGGATCCCACTGCTGTCCTTCAGGCATTTGGGTTTTAAAAACCTCCCGAATGTGGCGAAAGGAGAGCTTTGTGCCTTTTCATGACGGGTCGCTAGGCAACGGCCGCGCAAACGCCATGTGCGCTTCCCTGTTCTAAAAGACACCTAAAATGCAGCGGGCGGCTGGGAGAGACAGAGGGGAAGAGAAGAAACCTCGGCTCGGAAGGGGGAAAAACAGCCTGCGGGCCGCTGGTTCGTTGGCTCACACGCTCCGGCAGCCTCCTCGGCGCCAAAGGCATCGCGTCAGCCAGCGCTTCCCACTTGGGGAAGAAACCCGCCAAAGAGCCTTTTTCAAATCCATGGGGTGGTTTTTTTGTTCCACCTGCACGCTCCCAGGCTGCATGTGCGCGGCGGCCGCACGCGATTCTATAAATAGCCCAGCTCAGACGCTCTTGTGTGCTAAAATAGCTGGCTTTGAACCCCACTGCCTGCCTGGTGGCAGGAAAGGAGCCTCCCGAGAAGAGCGGGTTTAGCAGGATGGCTCTGGCTGCAGGCCAGTGGCAGCGTTCAGGCCTCTCGGTGCCCAGAGGGCAGGATCTGGGATTTGTTTAGGAGAAGAGAAAGAACTCTATGCAGAGAGAGAAACCCGGGGTGGGAAGAGACCATTCGCTCAACACAGGTCTCAGAGGAGGGAGACCCCCGTCCTCAGGTGATCCAGGATCCTCCACAAGCCCTTATTAGCCAAATGAAAGATCTGAAGGTTTTCCAGGGATCTGTAAATGTCAGGCGTGACTCAAGTTGACACAAAGGCGCTGCAGCAAGAAAGACCACACCGATCCAACTTCATAGTGAAAAATGTGCCACGTCTCCTGGGTCAACAATTCTCAAGCAGCTTTTTGTCCTAAATTCTTGGTTCTACTGCATGCCGTGGAATCTTGGACCTCAAGGCACGACACTCACAACGAGGGGTAAAGTTAAAGGTTCCCCTTGATATTTTTAGTCCAGTCGTGTCCAACTCTAGGGGGCGGCGCTCATCCCGTTTTTCAAGCCATAGAGCCAGCGCTTGTCCGAAGACAGTTTCCGTTGTCACGTGGCCAGTGTGACTAGGGAACGCCGTTTTACCTTCCCACTAAAGTGGTACCTATTTATCTACTCTCATTTACATGCTTTCGAACTGCTAGGTAGGCGAGGAGCTGGGACAAAGCGACGGGAGCTCACTCCATCGCGTGGATTCGATCTTATGACTGCTGGTCTTCTGACCCTGCAGCACAGGCTTCTGCAGTTTAGCCCGCAGCGAGGGGTAACGGCGTTCAAAACAAGGATTTGCCTCTGCATCCTAATCATTTCTTGGGTCGAGGGGAGGATGGGTGAAAAAGTACTAAGGTGAATGAATAAAAGCCAAAATATCCTTAAGAGGCAAAAAGCTAGAGTACTTTCATCATGTAACGAGAAATGGAAAAATACAGATAGTTACAGATTATTTTCTAAGATGAAAGCGCAGAAAGAACATCCTGGCTGAAGAACCTTAGTCTGGGTGAGACACAATACCCTAATTTAGGGCTGCCACGTCCGGAATCAAAATGGTCAGGATGAGATTCAACCTCCAACGGGAGAGGAGAGAGAAGACGCAGCCAAGGTTGCTTCTACACTGAACCATCGGGTCTTCTTCTCTGATAGGGAGGCAGTCTGTGGACAGGCCAACCAAAAGCAGAGGATACAAGATAAGCCTCCTTATCGTTTGTCTGGGTGGTTGGCCCATTGGGTTGGAAAAGCAAGAGAAGCTTTGGAGCAGCTCTCAAAGCAAAGATCCTGTTTTGCAAAGGAAGACATCACCACCTGTAACATGTGGAGCCCCTTGAGTGGGAACTAGTGGGTCTCAGGACAGCCAAGCCACTGGAGACCGTAAATAGGAAAACAGCACACCAAGCCAAAGAGGAGAAGGAAGGGTAGATAAATTTCACAAGAGGTGAATCAGGTTGGAATGGAGACGGAGATGAGAAGAAGACACACCACTGCTCCACTTGAATCCAAATCAACCCCAGAGAAGCTGTCTGGGGATTTATCTGGACTCTTGTGGAACATTCGCAGGCTCGTTCAAGCTTAACTCAGCACCAAAGCCTGTGGATTCTAAACAGGAGAGAGGCAGAGGGATCCTCTGGCACCTAGTTTTAAGCAGATTATTTATTTATTTATTTATTTTTATTTATTTTATTTATATCCCCTCTATCTGGTCGTGTCAGATTACACGACTAAAGACGGTGTTGATGATGTTAGAACGGCAGAGCTGGAAGGGACCCTTGGGATCATCAAGTCCACCCCCTGTCAAAAAGGCCCAGTGGGGGGAATCAAACTCCCAACCTCTGGCTCCGCAGCTGGTGATCTCTACCACTGAGCTAGCTGGAGAATGGTTAAGGTAAAAAGAAGGGCTTGAAAGCCACCAAACCGACATATAATTGTGTATTTGATAAACATGTGGAGGATTGTCTAGTCCAGCATGGGAATGTTGCAGCTAGACAGGGTTGGGGGGCTCCCATCACAGATACAACCTCCGACCTTCTGTTTAGCAAAACCTTCTCTCCCCCACTCCCCCTTCTCCAGCTCAGCACAACTGGATTCCGATCCTACCTATTGAGACACCCTCCATCCCCCCCCCACACACACACACAAGTCCTCTGACTCAATGGGATTCTGGTGCCACTTCAGTTAACCGGGAGAAGGTATCCTATTTCCATGGTTTGGGGCCAGGATATCTGGAGGGCTCCCCCATCCTGAACAGAGGTCCAGATCTTCAGCAGAGAGAGACCCAGGAGTTGCGTCCGAACACCCAACAGGGAAGGTGGGGGAATTCAGAGCTGTCTTAACACTGCCTAGTTTTTGGGTTTAAAAACCGCCTTTCGCTTGTTTGCAGAGCATGATTTCTGTGCATTTTATTGTATACCACCTGTAAGGCCACTGGTGGGCGGAAAAGCACTCCACAAACACCTGCAAGAAGTGATAAACGCACACTTTGCAACAACACGCAGTCAGAAGAACAGCTGCCCCTAAAGTTCCCATCTTTGCGGCTTATGGAGCAAAAAAGCAAACCGCGCAGCTGCTCCCTTGGGAGGAAGCCTCCCTGGGCTCGCGGAGGCTTGGCGCCCGTGGAAGGTGAGCCGCCCAGGCCCTTGGCTCACCTTGGCCCTCTTACCTGGATGGATGACGGGCAGGATGACGTCCCCGTTCCGCTCCTTGGTTTCTCGCCGTTCCATCTTCTGCTCCTCGTAGCGCTGCCTCCCTTCCTCCTCCAGCTCCTTGGTGGCAAACTGGCAGGAAACAGAAGGACCATCTGTTCATCCCAGACACGATTGCCAAGATCGGGAGCAAAGGGCCAGGGGGTGCTGAACGGTTGGCAGCACCGTCGCCACCTGCGCCGCTCGGAAGCGCCACCGGGAACGAGACGGGTGTCTCGGGCCCGCCAGATTAATGCAGGACAGCTGCAGAAGGGGCTGCTCTGCAGAACTCCTTCAGGGGCCAGGGAGTTATCCTTGATCGGTGACATAAGCCGTAGGATTGCCCCTGGGTCATGGGGGCTCCTGGGGTGGAGTGCTGGACCCAACACTGCACATCACACAGCAGTAGGGGGCGGCTTTGGCTAACTGGGGCCAGTCGCTCGGAAGCGCCACCGGGAACGAGACGGGTGTCTCGGGCCCGCCAGATTAATGCAGGACAGCTGCAGAAGGGGCTGCTCTGCAGAACTCCTTCGGGGGCCAGGGAGTTATCCTTGATCGGTGACATAAGCCGTAGGATTGCCCCTGGGTCATGGGGGCTCCTGGGGTGGAGTGCTGGACCCAACACTGCACATCACACAGGAGAGGGCGGCTTTGGCCGACTGGGGCCAGTTTCCTGCCCCCCGACCCCTGCAGAGCCTCCTGGGGTCTCACAAGATCAGCAAGAAAGGAGGGAAAAAGAAGAATCACGAAAGACCAACTCCACTCTTGTTTTTTGAAAAACGGGTATCAAGCGGGGTTAACGGCAGCCTGATCAAAAGTTAAGCTTCTGCTTCTACTGGGGACCTCCAGGGTGACTATTCCCTTTTTTTTAGCCGGGGAGGCTGCTTTGGGCCACCCCTTCCTAAACTGAGAAGGTGCCCCTCATCTCAGAGTCTCCTCCTTTTGCATTGCTGCCCCAAACCAAGTGCCAGCCATCCGTTCACAGCCTGCAGCCTCAGGAGTGGGGTGGGGTGAAAGTACCCCACTGACGGGAGGAGCTGCAACAAACAGACGCAAGGGGTCTCCAATCCCACCTTGAACTGTTTGCATGTGCATTTCTTTTTATAAACCCTAAAACAAAGCAACACACTCTTCCCTTCCAAGTGGAGACCACACAGAGACGGCTTCGCTCCTGAGCCCCGTTTCTGCACAGCCCAAATTCACAAAGGAAGGAGAAGGAGCGGCTGAGTTGATCCGCCAAAGCGCCCGTGGGAAAGGTCTAGGGTTGGGGAGGCTGTACCATTGGGGCACTGGCTATCATCCATGCTGAGGAATGGGGTTCTCCACCACAATCCTCGTGCAGAGAGGTGGCCCCATTTCCCAAAGCCACTTACCTGAATCGGAGGGACCTCCAACACTTTGTTCACATTGTGGAGCGACAGCGGAACGTACCACAGCGTAGCCTTGTTGGTCACCCTCTTGGCCCCTGGAGTTGGGAGGAGACACAGGGGAGAAAATGATCTCTATAGGGCAAGACCTCTGGAAAAAATGGCGGAGAAGGCAGGACATTGGGTATGAACTCCAAATCAATGGGGAGACAAAACCAATCCCAGCCACATCAGCCCAGCTGCCCTGTTAGGATTCCAGGGGTCATAGAGTTTGATGAAGAAGACCCAATTGGTTTCACTTGATTATATCATTTACGGGGAAGGCTGACGGAATTACTTTAAGGGCAACCATCTGCACCCAATTAATTTAAACCCTTGAAAAAGAAGTACTGTACTGATTTCACAGAACCCCATGGTGCCATCTTTAAACTGGAGTACTGCAGTCAAGACTCTGCTCAGGACTTGAGTTCGATCCTGATGGGCTAAAGGCTGACTCAGCCTTTCCTTCTTCCGAGGCCACAAAACTGAGTACCCAGCTCGCTAGAGCATGGCGCGCAATGGGTAGCCTGCATCGTTCAATTGTACACCATCCAGAGAGTCCTTTAAGCACGGTGGGGTGGTATATAAGCAGCATGCTTTGCTTCCCTTTCTTTGTTTGAGGAGCTGCCATATGATGATATCTGGGGTCGACAGCTACCTGAGTTGCATTTTGAAACCAGCTTAGCACAATCATCTGCCATGAATTTCTTGGTCTCTAATTTCTCTGCATTATTGACAAGCCTGAGGAAGTGGATTTCGATCCACGAAAGCTAGCAGATGGTTTCAGGGGGGTTCAATTGGAGATGGGCATGAACTGCCAGTTTGTGCCGGTTCGTTTTTCGTCCGAACAGACGTTTGGCAGCCCCTCTCCTCCAAGTGGGTGTCCGGGGCATGAACTGCCAGTTTGTGCCGGTTCGCTTTTCATCTGGACAGACATTTGGCAGCCCCTCTCCTCTGAGTGGGAGGAGGTGGGGCTGGGAAGTGCCGAACACCTGAACGAACTGGCTCGAACTGCCAAAATGGCGGATTGTGCCCACCTGTTGCTCTAATAAAGGCATCACATACTCCTGTGCTCTATTGCAAGGCCAGAAAGATTGGAAGGACTTTTGACTTGGCTGAAGCTTTCGTGACCTGCAGACCACAGGCTTTTGAAGTCAGCTATCCTCCATCAAGGCATATATGCCCATAAACAAGTTTGCCATTGGGGTGGCACAAAGGTCTGTCACTTTAATCAGGGGGACGTGGTTGTTATTACCATCAACCACTGCTCTTACTAAAGGTCCCTGGTTATTTTACTGATTTCAGCTTGAATCACACGGTTGGGTGGGTGAATTTCCACCTTGCGTCCTCTTACGGGAAGGCGCCTAACAAATGAGACCAAATAAATAAATAAATAAATTCACTGCCTTTGATTCCACCTTTAGGAAATCTTTCCTTCCCAGGCGATGTGCAGATTACACCATAATACTTGCCTCGAGTCTTTGTTACTGGTGTCCTCAGCAATGTCGCTTAGGCGCCAGGCAAAATTTGCCCTATTTTGCTGAATATGAAATGAAAAATACTTTTAATTTGATTTCCTCTGCCCCCCAGAGAGGGGAAAAGATGGTTTTGAATCCACGTGTTTCCTGCTGCTTTCCTTAAATGGTTTTACTGATGAGGACAGACATTTTGAAGGAGTTAAACTGCTACGAAGTAGAAGAGGAGACATAAAAGCTGAACCGCTCCAAAGCACAGTGCATAGCGTTGATTCTCATCAAATGATGTCCTTTCTCACCACAGCCCTGTGAAAGAGGCTTTCTGTGTCTCCAATATGACTTACCCCAACATCTTGTTCCTTTCTGTCTAGGGGGAAACAGCTCCAATGGGGGCCAAAGGGCTTCCGCAAGGGCTCACGAATGCAGCCGCCTTGGGAACAGTCACCCTTTTGAACAGAAATTTTTATTCCAGAAAAAAAAATGGGAATGAGCCACTCTGTATCATCAGAAGCCCAGGCATCGGAGCTTTTTTGGATAAGGTTGTTGCTGTGGCAACCAGCATGCCAGGATATCGGGGGGGGGGGATTTTTTAAAAAAAGATTATTATTTTTTTGGCTGGGTGAAAGCAAGAAAATCTGATTTCCCAAAGCAGCTTGTTGGAGTCAAAAGGGCTGTGAAAACACACCGTTCGCCCCTTTTAATGTAGTGGGGAAAAGAGGCAAGATGAGAACAAAATATGGTTGTCTTTTTTGATGGCTGGTAGAGGCAGGCTGGAAGGCAACCATCATAGAAATCATAGAAAAGTGATTTTCTAGTGAAAGTTGAAGTTGGAAGGGGCCTAGAAGGCCAGTTCATAGAAAAGTGAAGTTGGAAGGGGCTTAGAAGGCCAGCCAGTCCAACCCCCTGCTTGAGTCAAGAATCCAAGTTAAAGTATATCTAAAAGTTGGGTGTCTACGTTTGTCTCCAGTGCTGGAGCGCTTGCCATCTCTCAAGGTAACTGGATCGATTGTTGTGCTGCTCTAACAGTTAGGAGTTTTTTTCTTGATATTCAAACAAAACCTGCCAGACAGGGGATCTTTGGACCTCCAAATCTAATCCAGGATTATTCTCCCCACAACACCAGCTTTAACCAACAGCCAAGTTGGCTAGAGATGAGGGGAAGTGGATCCTATCAAACATCTGGGAAGACACACACACACACCTGCCCCCGGTTGTGTTAAACCATGTGTTGCAAAGCATAGCCAAGAACAGAGTCAAAAGCACAGCTCAAAGACCCATCATGGCTTATTGGTCTCGTCATAGCAACGATGCTCTATCTCAGTGAGTTCCCAACCTTGGGTAACCCGGATGTTTTTGGACTAAAACTCCCAGAAGCCTTCAGCACTAGCTGGGCTGGCCAGGATTTCTGGGTGTTGATAGTCCAAGAAAACCTGGGTTAGCCAAGGTTGGGAACCACTGGTCTGTCTCAATACTGCCAGTAAGTACAAGGTTTTGTTTATCATGCAACATATATGAAGAAACACATCTTTGCATTTGACAGCTGGGGCTGTCAGATTTAAAGTCAACTGCGCTCTTAAAAATGCCAACTGCTTGGAATGGGTTTTGTCTGTGTTTTCATATCCACGTTACCACAATTTGTTCATATCCTTTTGACTTCCTTCAAGGGCAGTTTGAATAAAACAAAGCGCGTAGAAATACAAATATCCTTCTCAGAAGATCTGAGCTTTAGATGGTGGAGCTGAAGACCTTTGAAAGAGAAGAAAGGCTGAAAACCTGGGTGTTCAGTGAGGGCTTCCCTTCTAAGGGCGGGAAGGAAAAGGCCCATCGTTTGCATGGAGACGGAGCAATGGCTGCCTACGTGGGCCATTTCAACAGGGAACGGAGCGAATTCTCAGAGAAGAATGCAATCTGCCTTTAGTCTTTATTCATATCAAGAGGGTTGCACAATTTAAAATTCTGGCTGTATATGAAATCCAAGTAGAATTAATATGTTCATTAGCCTGTTTTTGACCAAAAGCAGGCTCCTTTGATAACATTCTCAGCCATTTGCTAGATCTTTTTTTTCGTATACGTAAACTGCACACACATTAAGTGCTGCATTGACTGAATTTCTCCACAGTCAGAGAAAACTTGCCTTGTATACAAGTAGCCTCATTTTACTTGATTATTCTTCCATTTTGCTTCATTGTCTATTAAGTGACTTCCAGATGGTCCAGCCAATTTATCTTTGGTGGGAGACCCTCTTCAGCATTCATCCCTTCGGCCACCTGTGTTGTCTTTGCTCTCCATAGATTCAGCCTAGCCTCTTCCGGTTTAACATTTTCCCCCCTTTATTATATACAGCATGACTATCCATCATGTTACAAGTCATAAATACAAAGTTTAAGATACCATCTCACCTATTGTGTAGTTTAACTGATAATTTAATGTAACTCTTCTGGTTCAACATAGAGAGCCTGAAATGTGTGCAGAAAACTCTTCCCCCATTTTAACCGCTGGGGTTGGTGTCCGTGATGTGGATGGGTTTGGTGCCACGTCGCCTTATTTTTGTTCATTATTTGCTAGCATGAACAGGGATGACACGAGAGTGCCAACCGCTGCTACTCGCCATAGAGAACCACAAGCCAGCAATGGAGACGGGAGTCTGCAGCAAGCAGCCGGCTGCCACGAATCGGGCGATGGCATCTGTTTCCAAGTGGGATGAACTTGTAGCTCCTGGGCTTCATCTGCATGTTCTCTTCCCCGGCAAAGTCACCATGGAAACCCGTCCCCCTCTTCCCACATGTGGGCCAAGAGCAGAGGGTGAGACATCTGGTTTAAAAACAAACAAAACCAGAGTTCACGCTGACAGCCAAAATATCTCCCGCGGCCCAAATCACGCTCTTCGGTTCACTTTGCCTGGAAAGTTTCCAAGCGGCTCTTGATCCCACACCAAAGACCCAAAGTGAAGAAAAGGACAGGGCAGGAAAAGAAGGATGTGGAAAAGAAAATCCGTTTGTCTTCCAGGGTGCCCCACAGGCCGGAGGGTCTATTTGGAGCAGTAACCATGAATCCCCCGGCTGCTTCTTCAGTTTGAAGGAGGAATTCTGTCCCCGAGAGATGCTGTGGAGTCTGAACGTCTGACAGGGCTGTCCTTGCACTCTGAATGATGACGCACACTGTTGTTGTTTTTGAACCATTTGAAAACATGCCACCCTCCCTCTTGTTTCGCTCCCTGGTCCCATCTGCCGAGAAGAAACAGGGTGAAACAGAGCCTCTCTCTCTCTCTGTCTGGCACAGACACGGGTTCATTCACTACCCATCTGCACCCGTGCGCCCACGAAAAGGCAGCGTCAGCCTCCCCCCAACATCTTCGGAAAGGATGTGGGGATGAGATAGAAAACGATGCTGTAAGCACACACAGTCCACGGCATTTTAGGAAGAGCGCCTGTCTCTTTGGGATGCGATTCTGGTTTCTTCCGATCTGCCAGTTCACCTGCTCTTGTGACCCCGATGGTCTAAACATAGGACAAGACTTCCTAACTGTTAGAGCAGTACGACGACGGAACCCATGACCGCGGGAAGCGGTGAGCGCTCCGACGCTGGAGGCCTTCAAAAGAAAATGGGACTATTCTGCTGCTTTGATCTGGATTTCTGCCTTGAGCAAGGAGTTGGAAGGAATGGTCTTTGAGGTCCCTTCCCTCTCCATGATTCTATGATTTTTCTAGACCAAAGCTCTCAGAATCCCCACCGTCAGCATCCTGGCTGCAAGATTTGGGCCACCATCATTCACAGAAACAAACACGCTCCACCTCTTGTTTGTCCTGTCCTTCCGGTCATCACAAGACAGCTGGCAACTGCTCTACTGACACTGTGCACCGGCTGACACAACCCGAGTCCCTTCAAGCTATCCTCTAAATGAAGTCCTAAAGCGCTTGGTGGTTTGTTGCGAGCCAGAATCAATGATCTACCGTCAAGAGAGCCGGATTTTGTACAAAGAACTTCAAATGAGCAACGAAGACAGTAATTGAGGGCCAGGAAATGCCTTCTGGCAAGGCCCGAGCTGCCTTTTCTGTGAGATAATTTCCTGGAAAGCAGCATCTGGGTAGCAGCTGCCTCCCAACAAGCTGGCGGTGCAAAGTCACAAGAGGGAGGTTTCCATCGGGAGGACGAGAAGAAGAAGAGACTTGCTAATAGAGACTTGAGTTTAATGAAATGCCCCATGCCCAGATACCTATGCTCTGTCCAAACATGCACTGAGCAGGGGGCTGGAACTACTCGGTGGTTCAGTTCTCTGACTGCGGAGCCAGAGGTTGGGAGTTCGATTCCCCCCCACTGTCCCTTCCTTGATGGGGAATGGACTCAATGATCTACAGGGTCCCTTCCAGCTCTACAGTTCTAAAATGACGATGATGATGATGATGATAATAACCTCCTAGGCCCCTTTCAACTCAATTATTTTATGGTTCTATGCAGAAAGCTTTTTTTTAAAAAAGTGCTTTGAAGAATTATTTCCCCAAACTTGGATTCCATTTAAAAAAAAACAAACTATTGTTTTACAAGACGGTGGAGCATAAAGAGGGATAGAAAAGGGGTAGGAAATCCTCTGCATGGCTGAGGACTAGAAGCATTTAATGAACACACACACATACACCGCTATGTAGAGGCCAAAGTCCTGCTCATTGTGCCTGCCAGCATAATACCATTACATCCCTTCTTCCCAGGCATACCAACCGAGTGACTTGGTGCCCAACAGGAAATGCCCACACAGACTTATTGATTTATTTATTTTTATATTTTATATTCATTTATTTAACTTATATGCCGCCCACACTACCCGAAGGTCTCTTAAGTTGTGCCAATTTGCTTCTCAATGCTCCACCGATGGTCTTATGCCAGCATCAGGGAATGAGTGGAATTTTGGCCATGCCGTTCTTTATTTTTATTTTCCTTCCTTGCCTGGGAAGAAATATCTTTTGCTTGGAACGGAATTTTAGAACTGTAGAGCTGGAAGGGACCCTGTAGATCATTGAGTCCATTCCCCATCAAGGAAGGGACAGTGGGGGGGAATCGAACTTCACAAACGCTCAGCCTGGAATATAAAACTAGTCTTTACCAGGCGGTGTTGTTTTCAACAAACTTCTCTGGGTTGCTTTGAAAAACCCAGATTTGGGGTTGAAACAAAGAGACAGATGCCGTTTTTAAAACAGCGCCCCTTAAATCCGTGTTTTAGAGAACTGCACCCTCTAGAGGGGCACTTTCCTTAGTTCTTGGAAGGAAAAATAAAATATCCCATTTCTCCTATTATGAAGGTTGGAGAGGGAAGATTTCCATAGCTCTTGGAACAGATTAATTTAAATAAGGAACTTGTATAAATAGAGGCTGCTCTTCACCCAAGAAACAGGGAGGCCTTTATTATCTGTTAAAACTTTCAAGTTTGATCAGTGGTAAGTTATTCCATGATGATTTTACCAATAATGATAATTTTCATTGATCAAGACCACATCCTCAGGAGCTTTTCCAAGGTTTTCAAGGTAGAGAATACACAGAAGTGATTTCTGTTCTCTTCTTCTGGGGTGCCCTGGGACTCCACAGCTAGCCCAAGGCCACCCAGGCTGGCTCTTCTCCTAGGAGGCACACAGTGGGGGGAATCGATCTCCTAACCTCTGGCTCTGTAGCCAGAGACCTAAACCTCTGAGCTATCCGGCCTGTAAAGGTAAAGGTAAAGATTCCCCTTGACAATTTTTGTCCAGTCGTGTTCGACTCTAGGGGGCGGTGCTCATCCCCATTTCCAAGCCATAGAGCCAGCGTTTTGTCCGAAGACAATCTTCCATGGTCACATGGCCAGTGCGACTTAGACACGGAACACTGTTACCTTCCCACCGAGGTGGTCCCTATTTATCTACTTGCATTTGCATGCTTTCGAACCACTAGGTTGGCGGGAGCTGGGACAAGCGATGGGAGCTCACTCTGTCGTGTGGATTCGATCTTACGACTGCTTGGTCTTCTGACCCTGCAGTACAGGCTTCTGCGGTTTAGCCCACAGCGCCACCACGTCCCCGTTTTAACTGCCAGGTCCAAGATCCTACCAAGCTGCCACGGACTGTAAGGTCTCTGCCATGGCCGGCATAGAGCAAGACTTTTCCTATTTGCACAAGAATTGAGGTCGTGCCAGCTGTGATCTCCACCATCCTGCTTTCACAAATTGTCTAGACCTTCCGCTCTGGGGAAGGTCAGCAGGACCCTGGCCCAGCAGCCCAGAATTCCCCACCCCCACCCAGGGGAGTACGTGATACCTAGAAAGCCCTGGAAAAGGCTGCCGTAAATCGGAGTGGACTCAAACACCCCTTAAACAGTGGGACAAGCTTTCCTTTTCCTGAAACTGGTGTCTTCCAGATGTGCAACACACGTTCATACATAAGAACCTAAGAAGAGCCCATCTGGATCAAGCCAAGGGCCCATCTAATCCAGCTCCCTGTATCAGCAGATGCTTCTGGGAGCATCCTGTTTTAGCAACAGCCCCCAAAAGGTGTGTGAGGCCATACCGGTCAGGATGTTTTCTGACTCCACGTTCACCTGGACCTCCACAGAGTGCTTGGACGTGTAGGTGATCTCGGCGCTGACGTGGGCAACGTCCCCGATGCACATGGGTGAGAGGAAATCCGTGCGCTCCACCCGGGCCAGGGCGGCCACACATCGCTCCTAAAAAGAGGAGAAGCATAAAGGACACCGTTAACTGAGACATCATAACACACACTCACACAGGACAGGATGAAAAAGAAAACATACGAACATTACCAATGTTCTAAAGGCAAAGGAACTCTATTAATCTGCTCCTACCGCCCCCCATACCCTCAGCATCTGAGGAGCTGGAGACCGTGGCTGCCAATTGCTACTAAATAGATATACATATTTACATTTATTCAGGGCCACTGGATAGAGTGACAGACTAATCAAGAGATTTGGAAAATCACTGGCTATGCTAAAATTACCCCTTTATAGAAATGGGGATGTTTCCCATCTCAGGTGCACCTTATGCGGATCTGGCCCTTGGAATCGGCCCGTCTACTTATGCGTTGCCATGTCGCCATCCTCCTGCTTTTCCCACCAATTGCAGAAGTTACTCTGCCATCTCCTGGCTTGGCTAGCCACTCCAGGCAAGGGGCGCGAGGACAAGGACAAGCGGGCAGAAGTCAAAGGAGACGGCGGAGCTCCTTCCGCGATGGGCGAGAAGAGTGGGAGGCTGGTGGCGCACAAGTGGATGGGCCGGTTCTGAGTGCCGGAACTGCATTATTGCACCTGGGATAGGGATGTTCGTATCCGTTTACGAATACATCTACGAATACCCCCACCTCTACTCCTTTAATTTCTCCCTTACCTTGAAAAGCTCTCTTAGGGCACCGTAAGTTGGATGAGAACTGACAGACAGTCATGACAACATATAAATCTGAAATAAATAAGCTCAATCCAACAGCCACTTCAGAATCTCTGTAGGGAAGGTGCAAATTTAGTTTGTCTCGGTTTTTCCAACACTGCCATCTTTTGGCCAAGTATAAATAGGGTTTTGTTTCTGTTTTTACAAAGAACTGTGCACAGTTAAAAAACAGGTTAGTGATAAACATGTTGACTTGGAACTTCTGTGTAAGTTTACCCCTTTTGCACTTTCAGAAGGCCTGTGCCAAGAGAAGCAAGGTGGGGTGGCTGTAGGCACCTTTCCCTCAATTTTGCACATACGGAAAGTGCACGGAAGATGCAGGTCTAAGAGGAACTGCACATAAAAGTGTTTTATGTTAGGTCATGATTTGCTTCCCAAAAGGAAAAGACGGAGCGGTGCAAAATAAATGAATACAAGTTATTGTGCGCATGCTTCTTTCCAAACAAAATAAATATTTGTTTATTTTGCACCTCTCAATATTTTCCTTCTAGAAGCACAAAGGAGCTTAAATCTGAAAAACACCCAGTCCAGGGCCCAGTGGGAAACCTTAAATCCAGATCTCTTAAGCCTCAGCCCCAGTCCTGCTAAGTGCTACGTTCTGCTTTGTGACACTTCCTTGGGCCATTCGCTATCTAGAGATAAAGTGTGTACTGTCCAATTCCAAGGAAAGCAGGCTGGAAAACTGCCCTGACAATCTTCACAATCATACCCTGCTTGTCGTGATACAAGCAGAAATTTTAAAGTTAGAGGGGCTGGGGCACTTTCATTGCCTTTTATACCAACAGGACAGAATAATGTCATATGTACTAGAATACGTGTTCTCCTACTGTCTAGGCACGGATAAGTACCTAAGCAGAACAGAATTATACAAGGCAGCCTTCAACAACCTATCCTCAAAGGCTGTTCATTTTTAATTTTGAAATTCAGGTTTCCTCAGTATTTTAACCACAATTTAAGTTTTCTGATTGCCAACTCCATCACGCCAGAGGTATGGGTCTCCCACTTCAGTCGCATTTTGGGGGGTAGTATTCATAGAAATATTACACGAGACCCTCTCTAATTCCTCTGAACGGCCACCTGTTTCCCCCAAAGAAATTGGGGACCTGATTCAAACTCTCCAGAACGGCAAGGCTCCTGGTGAAGATATGATCCCCACCGAGGTCCTTGCTATTGACATTCAGTGGTGGTCTCCCGTTCTAGCCAGTCTATTCACCTACATCAATAGTATAGGCAATCTTCCTGCAAGTTGGCAAACTAGCATTGTTGTGCCAATTTTTAAGAAAGGCGATCATCCTCTAGACCCTTGTAACTTTAGACCCATCAGTCTTCTCAATGTGGCCTCTAAGCTTTATGCTAGATACCTCTCGAATAGGCTTCTAGATTGGGACAACAAACACTCTATCATCTTCGAAGAACAGGCAGGCTTCAGAAAAGGCAGCAGTACAATAGATCAAGTAGCATTGTTGTGCCAATTTTTAAGAAAGGCGATCATCCTCTAGACCCTTGTAACTTTAGACCCATCAGTCTTCTCAATGTGGCCTCTAAGCTTTATGCTAGATACCTCTCGAATAGGCTTCTAGATTGGGACAACAAACACTCTATCATCTTCGAAGAACAGGCAGGCTTCAGAAAAGGCAGCAGTACAATAGATCAAGTCTTTGTTTTACGCCATGTGATTAGTAAATACACCAAACCTCCAAACAAATATCTTTACGCTGCCTTTGTGGATTTTTCATCAGCCTTTGACCTGATAGATAGAGAGAGCCTATGGTATAAATTGGAAAAAAACAAACATTGATAAGAGACTCCTGTGGCTCATACAGCTACTATATAAAGAAAATGCGATGCAAGTGTGTATAGGCTTACAGGGAGCTCTATCACAACAGGGGCATGCTATTGAGCAGGTACACTCATTTAAATACTTGGGCCTTCAGTTTTGTGAGAAACTCTCGTGGAGACAGCATTTAAATGCTACCATCTTACTGAGTACCAGATCAAAATTAAAAAGATTTTTCTACAGCAGAGGAGGCCAGCTGGTAAATCCTGTTCTCAAGGTGTTCATTGTCAAAATTCTAGCACAAATGCTCTGCGGAACAGAACTCTGGGGAGAGGCAGCCAAGCCCAAATTAGAAATCCTGCAGAACAAATTCATGAGGCTGATACTGGGTCTCCCCCAGGAACTCCTTCGGCTCACGTCAGTGCTGAGTTAGGCCTAGAAAATTAAAAAGATTTTTCTACAGCAGAGGAGGCCAGCTGGTAAATCCTGTTCTCAAGGTGTTCATTGTCAAAATTCTAGCACAAATGCTCTGCGGAACAGAACTCTGGGGAGAGGCAGCCAAGCCCAAATTAGAAATCCTGCAGAACAAATTCATAAGGCTGATATTGGGTCTCCCCCCCCAGGAACTCTTTCGGCTCACCTCAGAGCTGAGTTAGGCCTACCCTCAATCGCCGCTAGAATTGATCTGGCTTACCTTAGATATTGGCATAGAGTGAACAGTTTGGAGGACTCCTCCCTGACAAAGTGCTGTTGGTTAGAACAACTAAAGTCTGGTGGATGGGCACGACAATGTCACCAAAAATTAAAGGTCCACAACCTTTTGATGGGAAAGTTCCTTTAGTTTAAGCTCTCGCGACCTCAGGAATTGGATCTTCGATCTTGATGCTAGCCAGGATAGGGTGGCTATTGCTGGGTCCCGTTTTTCTACCTGGTATCCTCAACTTCAAGTGAATTATGCAAAACCAAAATATTTTGAGTCATTGACTTTTCCCCAGATTCGCAGAGCTTTTACAGAACTTAGATTTGGACAGATGGCCTCAGCATACATCGAAGGGAGATATAAAGGAATCCCAGACAAGGAACGAAAATGTGTCTTCGGCTGCAACCAGATTGAGGATCTAACTCATTATCTACTGTTCTGTCCTCTCTATAAAAAACCTAGAGAAAGATTTCTGTCACCCATCATTCAGATGTATTTTAACTGTACCACCACTGAAACAGTAGTAGGATTGCTTGCTGATGCACAGTTGCACATTACGTATGCTGTATCACAATTTGCACTAGCAGCTAAGAAGCCGAGGCTTCGATTTGTCAGGGATCATAATGCCACATAAATGCTGAATACAGTGGATTGACATTTTACATTATGACAATATTTTTAGACCGGGTTTTATTGATTTTTATGGTTTTAAGGTAATTACCTGTTTTATTTAGATTTTATATGCTACAGTAGTCACAATATTGTAAAGGTCTATGGCCAGAAACAATAACGTTTATATGTACTGTATGTATGTTTGCAATTTAAGTCAGTTATTTAGCCATATTGATTACGTTGTTAAGGGAGTGGAGCCTGTGTGTGTGTGCATGTGTGTGTGTGTGTGTGTGTGTGTGTAGGCTTGTGTTTTACCCTGTACACCACCCAGAATAGTGTGTATTCACTAAATGAACAGTACATAAATTAAATAAATGCACACACACCAGGTAGGGGTCGGATCCTGCACGTACCCCAGACTGAGAGTTGCAGTGTCGGGTGCTGATAATGGCCCCCGCCTCCTCAATCATCTTCAGGATCGTCCCGCCGTGCACGTTCCCAGCGATATTGGCGTCATCAGGGCGCATGATCCTGTAGAAAGGGAGGGAGGGGGGGCAAAGATGGTCAGTTGTTGGTTGAGCTGAAGCAAGAGAAGAGGTGCTGAGCACTGAAACGATGTCTATAAAATGCAGTAAGTAAAACAACCTCATGGGATTAGGGCAGTCTGAAAGAGAGTTCCATTGCACGGAGCAGAATTGGAACACGGATCTTGCAAGTTCCAGTCTAACAATCTAACCATTCGGCAACGTGGGTCCAAAGTAAGCCCTACAATGGAGCACGGTGGCAGAGTTAACAATAGTTGGTTCTGTTCAAGCTTATACCTGTGTAGCCTGCACTCCAGGGGTGGCCTCTTTCGCCCATCCAGGTCCCACCAATTTCCTAGACATTGGAGGGGAAACCTGAGGCTTCCGAGATCAGCTGGTTAAATGAGGACGTTGCGCCCATTCCACACAACCCAGGAGCTGCCAACCAAGCACTCTAAGGAACGCCTGTGCAAGCTGGTTACGTTCATCCTGGAGAAGAGAAGGTTGATAGGTGGCAGGACAGCTGTGCTCAGCTCTTCAAGGGCCTTTCATATAAAATAGGATGAAAGCGGCTTCCAAGAGTAGAGCCTAAACTAGTGGATTCCGTTCACATGGAAGGAAATTGAGACTAAGAATCGGGAAGAACTTTCTCACAATACAGTGATGCCTCGCAAGACGAAAATAATTCATTCTGCGAATCGTTTAGTATTGCGAAAATTTTGTCTTGCAAAGCGCAGTTTCCCATAGGAATGCATTGAAATCTAATTAATGTGTTCCTATTTGTCTTGCGAAGCACGGCCATAGAAAAATTTGTCTTGCGAGTCACCAAAAAATCGCAAAGCGCTTTTGTCTTGCGAGTTTTTCGTTGTGTGAGGCATTCGTCTTGCGAGGCATCCCTGTAATTGCTATTCAGCTGCGGAACGAACTGCAAAAGGTGGAAGAACCTGGTTCTCAGAAGGGTTTTTAACAGAGTTTATATGATGCTCTGTCTGGGAAGGTCCTTCCTCAGCCATTCTCCATGGGGGCTCCTGGCACATCCAAGAGGGCTACAGATGGAAACAATTCTTCACACACCACCTTTATAGAGTTTGTTCTGTGACAATCCTCATTTGGCCTAGATTACTTTCCTATTGCGTTTATGGCTGTGGTCAAACAAACAAACAAAAAAATCCTGACCAGCACAGCTAGTGGTGGAGCCTTCTGAGAGTTTTAGTCCAAGAACATCTGAGGACCCAAAGTTGGGAACGAACTGTTTGAGAAGAAGGAAAGGACCTTCAAGAAAAGAGGTCCACCACACCATGATTTCATTGGTCTGCCGCTTTGGACCCCAGCCCACCAAGCAAAGAACTCCACGTAGCTCAGGTCGCTCATGTAATGTCATGACGTCAAAAACCTCTCCCCCTTCCCAAGCCCACAAAACAGCTTATAAAGACATAGCGATCACCGTGTGCTTCAAAAATTCACAACAAGAATGCACTAAAGGGGTTCCAGGCAGACAAACACCAGATTCAGCGAAATCCTGGTCGAGGAACCGGAGGTCATCTGGGACCCCCTTCGAGTCCTACAATGTTATATTACTAACACACTCGGAAATAAAACATACTCTCAAATAGAGCCTAGAAATTATGAGAAAAAGAGAAAGCAGAAGCCTCGTTCTGAGACAGGTTCTACAATTTTGCCACCACACAGACGAGTCCGTCCGGTTTCAACCCCGTGTCTGGATAGAATGGACATAACCAGGACTCCTAAAGTATGTGGGCAAGTGTTGCTGGAAGGCAGATGTTCATCTACACTAAACATCAACCAGTGTATCCAGTTATGTCCAGTATGCACCACCCAACTCCTAAGTAGTTCTGAACTTCCTCTCCCGTCCACCATTGCTAGCACCCCTACAATCTTATGACTCACAAAAGTGACTCTTAATCCTATAAAACCTAAATGTGGATTAGCTTGTTGTTGGATGTAAGGGGGGGGGGGAACAGGATTAAACCCTTAGGGAAGGATGAGGCAAAGCAGCTGCTGTTGCCCCAGTTCTGTCACTGGTGGGAGCTCTAAGAAGAGGAAGCAATCTGAAATTTTCTCCAAAGGGCCCCTTACTGGCAAGAACGAATAATACACCCCAATGGCTGATGATGTTAGGACATGGGTTGGGGACAGAGCTGAACCAGGAGCAACTATCACATCAGAGCCAAGAGAGAGAGGAGGCGGCAAGGGATTCTGGGTCTTGGTAGTCCAAAAGATAGTGAAGTTCCTAAGCTCTGGCACCTGACGTTCACAAGCCATCACGAACCCTCTGGGTCTCATTGTGCATGAACGAAGGATGTATTTTGGGAAAACCCAGACGCTCACTCCTCCTGGCAGAGGAAAAATAAAGAACACCCGAAGCGCAGCCGATACTGCCTGGTACTGGAAGCTAAGCAGAGCCTGCTCAGTCTCTGGATGGGAGATTCCCAGGAAATCCCAGGAGTCTCCAGTTCAGGCTTGGAAAGAATCCTGCATGGAACCGAGGAGAGACTATGGCTGCCAGTCAGAGTTCACTGTGCTGGGTTAGGAGGAATAAGGGCTGAATTCTGCATAAGCCATCTTCCTGTCTCCTGCATCACGCTATTCCATGTATTAACCATGGTTTGCTGCTCAACACACAGCTACCTGTTGCATGGCAGTCAAACAAATCCTGGCTGACCATCCCACTACTGGTTTGTTTCATTCCTGCCAACTCCTGTTTCAGACTGAGCTGTGTGGGGAACAAGCCATGTTTGTGGGTTCAGACAAAACGACAAGCCATAGATAAAACCACACTGGGTTTGTAAGCTGACAAGAAAGTTCAGTCCCTGCTACAGAATCCTAAGTAAGTGATCACTTGTGTCTTTCATCTCACTGCGAAAATTTCCAGCAGGTTTCAATTTTTCCCCTGCAGAAAGTTATAATCAGAGAGAGGAGCTGTTGTGACTTCCACATCTGCTGCAACTCCACAAACGACAACTCTGGTGTGTATGTCACAGTCCTAGTAGCTCTAGTGCTATTAAAAGGCCTGAACACCGAATTCCACATTTAGTACATGGCGGTCAGAGGAGAAAAAGTGCATTTGCAATGAATATCTCCATTTTCATCATTTATCCCTACCATAAAAAGTGCCCAAGTAAAGACCGCTCAAATATTTTGTTACCAAAGCAGAATGTATGGGGCCTTAGCAGATCTAAGCCCTGATTGCTCGCTGCACTGGCTGAGGCTTCTGGGATTTGTAGTTCCTGGAAGCTGAGCGTTTTTACAGTATTTGGAAACCACCGTGTTAGGCAAACAGGAAGAGCAAAAGGGGGGGGGGAGAGCTAGAAATGACTCATATAAAACAATGGCAAGCCACAGATATGCAACAGCAGGAAGGTCCATGGCACGAAAGCGCAACCCACACACCGGTTTTGCTGTCCTGCAACCTTCCTGGTCGCATGCAACAGGCTTGTGCCGGTTGCTGACTCTGACTCTCATGTCAGTTCCTTCCCCCCCCCCCGGTGCTGCACCACTGTCCCATAACATCCAGATTAGGCAGGACATGGTCCTGAGTGACCACTGTTGGTCTCTAAACCATGATGTGAAGCCAACTGGCACACGGCAGCTGTGTTGTTGTTACGCCCTCTCAAGTGGCCTTTGACTTACGGCAGCTCTTAAGAATTAATGACTTCCCAAACATCCTGTGTCCTCAACTGCCCTGCTCAGCTCTTGCAAAACTCAAGGCTGTGGGTTTCTTTATGGAGTCAGTCCCGCTCGTATTGGGTTTTCCTCTTTTCTTCCTGTCTTCCACCTTTCCCAGCATTATTGCCTTTCCCAGCAAGTCCACCCAAAGGTCACCACCAGTGCATTGTCAGTTTGCAAAACTCAAGGCTGTGGGTTTCTTTAGGGAGCCGGTCCCTCTCGTATTGGGTTTTCCTCTTTTCCTCCTGTCTCCGACCTTTCCCAGCATTACCGTCTTTCCCAGCAAGTATGCCCAAAGGACACCAGTGCATTGTCAGTTTTTTGCCTCCAGAGAGAGTTCAGGTGGATCTGCTCTAGGACTCACTTGTTTGTCTTCCTGGGACTCCAAGGTATGGGCAAAGCCTCTCCCTCCATCCAGCACTGTATTTTTGAATGAATGAATCTACCTTTCCCCAGGTCTTTCTATTGCAGCTTGGAAGCAAGCCAGTTTTAAACCACTGTTTGCCTGATTCACGGAGAGCCAACTAGGGTTGGGCCCATCAAAAAGAGTCAGACAGCATCCGCTCCATCTTTTAAGAGGCTGTTACTGAAGAGCCAAAAAGGAAATATCCCACCGCCCAGTCCGCAACAAAGCTTACCAGTAACAGCAAGGAGAAACCCCGGGTGACTGTCTGAGAGTTTTAAACCATCCTGAGCATTTGAAACATTTCCCCCTGCGCTATGGAGGATCTCCACTGCCTGAACCCATGGCCGATGCTGTCCCTTCTTTGCTCCCTAGGGCATGTCTTCTCTCAAACACACCATCCTCCAAAGACAGAAACTTACTTCATAAACAAGGAAGACTATTCCAGAAACAACCTCCTTACCATTCAGTTTTATAACCAGGACCCACCCTCTTACAGCCTCACTCAAAAGTTCTCCAACCCAACACCGTAACCCATCAGAACGCAGGCTTAAACATAAGAAAAAGGCCATGTGGTCCCCTCTCCCACCTCAAAAATACCATGCAAATACAGAAAGCTAGTGATCCACCTGATTTTTCCCCCACTGGCCCAAGAGAGGTATCACCTGCTTCTGCATTTGAAGTTCAAACGGGAATCGCTAACCCGCTCACTCATTCCTACAGGTTTCCTAGCGGTTCCTTCCTAGATATTTCCTAACATCCAGCTCCTGACTCACACCAGATCCCTCTTGACGTTCGCCACCCAAAGAGATCGGAAGAGAAGGAGCTGCCGTTCACAGACCCGAGTCACAGAGAGCAGTCGGGGAAAAGAGGCTGAAAGCGGACCTACTGGATCAGCCGAGCTGTCATCCTGATGG